AGCCAAAGCACACGCGCCCGCCCCCGCACCCGCGAAGCCAGCCGAGCCTGTCAGCTATGCTGACCTGCCTGAGCATGAGGACTCTCGCTCGTCGCCGTCCGATGCAGGCACGGGATCGCAACAAGCTGGACAATCTCCAGGCTCGAACATCATTGTTGATGGAGATCTCATCATTGATATGGGATCTCCACCTCCGCGTCCCTTCGTGGACCGGACTTACTTCTCGTCCAATAATACCCCAGCAGACGACGATGGGGATGAAGACGTTGGGGAGTTTAGTCTACCCTCCCCGGTTGGCAATACAGCTCCACCTACTTCTTCGGTCCATACAGGTGCGGCTACTCAAGAGGACGAAGTGGAAGATGATGATGCTTTAGCGGCGGAGATGGAGGCCGCGTTTGAACAAAGTGCTCGTGAAGAGGAAGCTCGGAGCCACCAGTACAGTCAGCCCACGGCCAGGCAGTATGTTCCCAGTGATGATGAGAGTGAAGTCAGTGAGGAGGAGTAAATGTCTATTTGGCCCTTTTTTTTGTCTATTGCATCTATCAGCGTGGCGCCAGGACGGACTTTGATTCCAAAGTACTAGATACCAATTGTAATTGTTTAGGGATTGTTTCAAGTGTAATTGCATAGCGATGACCAATGAAATTTACATGAGAATCTATTAAACTTGTACTCCTCCAATGGACATAATGTAATAGCTACATATGTATTTCATTGTCATTCATACTGGCATCTCTTACATTGAAGCGGATAAATAGTTCCACTCGGAAAAGCCTTTTTCCGACCAAAAGCTTCCCTTGTCGACTGCGTCAATACGGAGGGAGATCCTCGCCGCCTTGCAGGATATCTGATAGTGCTCAATATTCAGGCAGCGCTGTGTTGTTTATATATTGCTTATCCCTGTCTTCTTTTCTCCAATTCTCTGAGCATCTCCCGCCGTGAACTATCATCTCCGCAATGCGATAGAAAGCTCCGCCATGCTAGATTTGGCTTAACGACTGTGACGTTTGGAACGATAACGATTATTGTTAACCACTCGCGCGAGCTATTCCTTGCCAGGCGCGCCGGATGCGTTCCATCTCTGTCGCCATTGTATGAACAACCCCTCGTCGACCTTATTCGTCTTTCCCCTCTTCACTTCGCACAGCCATGGCTTCCTCGACACCACCGAAGCGACGAATCCCCGGCCTGCCAAACCCAGTGTTGGAAGCAGAGCAGCAAAAATGGCTATTTACCGAGGAAGAATTTGAGCGCACGCCATCGCGCATTGATAAGATCGAACGCGGGAAAGAGGACTACATTCGACACCGTGCAGTCGAGTTCATTTGGCAAGTGAGCGTGATGCTGAAGATGCCTCCACAGACCTCAATGACCGCCACGGTGTACATGCACCGCTTCCTCATGCGCTATTCGTTGATGGGCCAATATCCGGAAATGGGGTCAGACCTGATGCACCCAAAGGTGATCGCCGCGGTGGCCCTGTTCGTCGCGTTCAAGGTGGACGAGGCCATGCGCCGCATGAAAGATTTCGTCATCGCATGCTGCCGTGTCGCCATGAAGCAGCCAAACCTAATTGTCGACGAGCAGTCCAAGGATTACTGGAAATGGCGTGACCTGATCCTGCAGAATGAGAGCGTCATGCTTGAATACCTCTGCTTTGACCTACAGGTCGAGTCCCCCTACCGCATCCTTTGGGACTACTCTGTCTTCCTAGGCGTCGGCGACAACAGAGCACTACGACACTCCACCTACTCCTTCCTCAACGACTCAACATACACCGTCCTCTGCCTTCAATTCCCACCCCGCGTCATCGCCGCCGCGGCTCTGTACGCCGCAGCCCGCCACTGCAAAGTCGCCTTCACCGACGACGCCGAAGGCAGACCCTGGTGGGAGCAGATCGACGTCCGTCTCGACGACCTCATCCGCGCCTGCACCTTCATCGTCAAGATCTACGAGCGCGTTCAGCAAAGCCTCAGCAAGGGCTACCCGGAATTCGCGCTTTCAGACTCAACCCCGAACCCCAATGACCCAACCCGCATCTTCGATACCGATCCTACAAAATCCGCCTCCGAGCAACAATCCACCGCCACCCCTCCATCTCTCAATGTCACCTCAGACACGGCTACAAATGGCCGCAAACGCTCGCGCGAACCCGAATCTCACCCCAACACACAATCGCACCCACACTCACCATCCCCACAAAACAAATCCCATTCAACCCTCAATGGGAACGGTGACCGCGATCGATCCCCCAAGCGCCAGCGCACCATAACCCCCTCCCACGAAGCGACCCTCCCAGCCGACCAAAAAACAATCCCTCCAGCACCCTCCCGCCCACGCGTCCCCGCGGCCGCATTATCCCAAACAAAAGCTACGCCTCAATTCAACTCCCTGTCAATTACGGGGGAGAATCCGGGGGAGAAGCCAGGACCGAAACCCTCTGCGCACTCCCCTCCAAAAGAAGAGTCCAGCGCCGAAGAAGGCGAAGTCCCTGAAAAACAGCACCATGTCGTTCCAGTCGCACATCCCCCGCAGCATGATCCCGCGCCTACGGCAGATGTGGATTATCGGAGTCAAGTAGACTCCCAGAAAGAGGAGAGAGAGGAGGGCGGGGCTGATGACGATAATGCTGGAAGTGAAGAAGGCGAGATCTAAGATCTAAGCCTATAAACTTGGGTCTATCAGGTCACGCTTGGGTAAGTGTGGCCTCAGGGATAATATTTATGAGTGAGAATGAATGAAATCCACGGAGAATCGAATTTCTCCCATTTGCTTGTCTACCAACTTTACTACCCAGGTGTACTTGTCCTGCGTCCTGATTTATTAGGGCTGTAAACGATGTATTTTTATGGATAATCCCAATCTCAAAAGATGTAGTATTCAATCCCAGTTTTCCAGCGCTAGATATGTGTAGATGGTAAATTTTACTCCGAATAAAAAAGAAAAGGAAGAAAACCCCTAGCAGATATGCGAAAGTACCACTGGTTGTGTCCAGTTGATACTGCATGTGTTTTGTATTGCTTCAAATGATCAGAGCAAGGCAACAACTCGGCATGAAAATGATACCAAGACATATGTGTGAGCATGGCATGCAATTCAATGTACAAAAACCGGCACACCGGGACACCTTGATGCGAAATATGCATTATCTTCGTTCTCACTTTCTTCATCATTCTCTTCTCAATTCTCCTCAATCAAAAATTCGCAACTTTACTTCAATATCCAGCAGTCATAACTCCCAATCCATGATCCAGCAAGCTGCTAGAAGCAACATAGCTGAATCCACCGAATGGGTTACTTTCAGCACCAACAACGTTGTCATCTGCACCCTTTCCACCCGGAAAATCCTGCCCCTTGCCGTAGTACTCATCAAAGCCGGCGGCAGTGACCGTCGGGCTGAGCGGGAGGTGGGTGAAATCAACGGAGAAATTCTCCGCGAGAGCGGGGTCCGTAACAATAGGCTGGATAGGGGGGTCGAGCTCGCGGCGCTCAAGGGCAGCCCAATCGATTTTGCGGAAGAAGCGATGCTTCTTGATAATCTGCAAATCCTTCTGCATGTGGTATCCGAGACGCTTGGAGGGTTCCTTGCGGAGAAGACGGGTGAGGAGATCCTTTGCGTCGGGCCCGAGGAAATAAGGGAGCACGAGTTTCTGTTTGACGATCTTCTCTTGCAGCTTTGCGTGATTGTTTCCGCGGAATGGGGGTGAGCCGGTGAGAAGGTCGTAGCCCAGTGCGCCGAGGGACCACCAGTCGCATGCTTTGCCGTATGGCTTGCCTTGGATCACTTCTGGCGCCATGTAGTCGATTGTGCCGAGGAGGGAATTGCAGCGGTCATCATCGCTGAGCGCGATCTTGCTGAGACCGAAATCGGTCAGGAGGAGGTGGCCTTGGGCGTCTAGGAGACAGTTCTCGGGCTTCAGGTCGCGGTAGAGAACGCCGACGTTTTGGTGAAGGTGTGCTAGTGCAAGTACCATCTCTGCCATGTAGAAGGCTGCTGTATCTTCTTCGAACATGCGTTCCATGGCTAGGTGGTGGAAGAGTTCGCCGCCTTGCGCGTACTCCAGGATCAAGTAGAGCTTCGCGTGGTCTTGGAAGGCATAGAATAGCTTCACGACAAAGGGATGGCGGTTGACACTTTCCAAGATTGTGCGCTCTGTCTTTGTCTGCTCGACTAGCCTTTTGTGGACAGTGAGGGAAGCCTTCCGGAATTGTTTCTGGGCGTAGAGCTTGCCCGTGACGACGTGGCGCACCAGCAACACAGTTCCAAATGAGCCCTTGCCTAGGCATAGGATAGGCACGAAGTCCTCCGCTGTCATCTTACGGCACAATTGACTACGCAAATCCGGATTCATGCCTGGGACATCCGCATTGCGATCGTCCAGTGTCTCTGGTTGCACTGCGTCGGAACTAACAAAATCCTGGTCTAGAGGGATTTCATAGCTGGTCAAGATCTCGGTCTGGTCGCTGTCGGAGTAAACACTGGCAGCACTGGGGGTCTTGGAGATAAGTCCGCTGCCAGCTGTGTCGTCAGTCAGATTCAGGGTGCTAAGTTGAAGCTTCAATGCGCTAACCCCATGGCCTGTGGATGCCTGTGCCAGTGGGCTGGCACCATCCAGTGCAGTGGGAGGTCGAGAAGGTGTACGTGAGCTCGAGGCGGAGAAGTCCGATTCCTCGTCGCCAGATGCCAGAGTGAAACCACGAACGGTTGCGCATGCCGGCCCGAATTGGTTCTTCTTCTTCTTCTTCCGTCGCTGGTTGTTCTCGTTGAGAGTCTTGTTTGAAAACTCATTAAATCCCTTGGCTGTCTGCTCTGGGGGTGACATAGTACCCATGTGTGCATTGGGGCGACGGTGATTGGCTGGGATTTCAATGGCGGACTGTTCGCTATCGGCCTGCGGAGCGAACACGTCTCCGACCGATAGGTCATCGACATTCGAGGAAGGCATTATGCTTTTGCTGTAGCACCTATGATAGCTCCGCGAGTAGAGCGAAACAATTTAGGTAAAAGCGCCGGTGATAACCGCAGGGTCGACAATTGACCTTGTGCGGTTTGTGAAGAATGGTAGCAAGGTATTCAGAATACCTATCTCGCAGTCGCTGTTCACATAGAGGCACCCGGTTAGCCTCAATCGCTTCGACCTTGAATATTGACTATAAAGAATGAATAGAGGGGTAGGTGAGGGTTTTCACACACCCCCACTAATTATCGCCAAGGTAAAACGTAAAAGAAATTTAAAAAATAAAACAAAATAAAATAAAATAAAATAGCAAATGAAAGGAGGGCCAAAGAGACGTACTTCAACTTGAATTTATTGCATCAAAGCACGGTTTTCCTTCAGTGCCCGAACTAGTCGATAGACTAGCCTTGAATCTCTCGAGCAGATTTACCGTCCGCCCTTCTTCAGGACGGACCCGGGACCCCTAGCCAAGTCACCTCGCTGGTCGAGGAGTCGAAGGCCAAGGCGACAGGAGAAAGCACTGAATATGCCGACACGTCGGAATTGTCAGGAGCAGGCGAATCGATGTTCAGAGGGGATGGATATGGATCAAGGTTGGCCAGGAAGCCACTAAGCGAAATCGAAGGCAAAGACGAAGGCACAGATGGGCACATAGAGGATGAAGAATTTTAGCAAGCAGAGATTAACAGTTTTTCTTCCCCAGGAAGTGAAACAAAGCAAGAAAACCGTGAGATCCTGCAGAAAATCGGATTTCAGGCGCAGATCCGGGGGCTGAGCCACTAGTCCTAATTGGGATTTCACGTGTCAGATGCTGACATTAACATGATCTTATTGATTGGATTGGGATGTTGTATATTATCTTGATATTGTCATGATATTGCATTATATCGCATGATATTACAGTCTTTTTGTTTTGACTAGCCCTCGATATATCGCCAAATGGTTCTACAGACCCGAGACCGCCTCACACAGCCTCAATACTACAGCCACCAACTTGCATGAGTGTCGATCTGCATACTGCAGCCTCCTGTATAACATGAAACCACTTACACGGCACTTAGCAGCTCTCGAAGAAAGCCTTTGAGCGAGTAATCTCCACACCAGACCGCTGGACAAAAGCGAGAGCACTTGGCTTCTCCACCTTGACCGTCACACGCTCATTGCCAAAGTCCACAGTCACAATGCGAGCAATGAACGTAGCCAAAGACTCTACAGACTGGAAATCAGTCTGATCAACCTTCTATAATATTAAGTCAAGTCAGCAAATTGGCCCGAGAAAAGACACCAATAAAAACATCAGAGAAAAAAAAGAGTTAACCACATACCTCAGCCACAGCCCGCGTCACGGCCTGATAAGTATCAACAACAGTCGACCCCCAAGCAAGCTGCCCAGGACCCTGGAATGTAAGACCAACAACAACAGCCTGTTTCTCAAGTCTCTCATGGGGATTCACCCCCAAGATAGCATAGCACCTGATCCCCTCAATCCGGAACTCCTCCTCCAAAACCACCAACCCGCGCGCCTCCCCACCAGCAACCTCCTTCCCAAGCGCAATAACCCCGCGATACCGAAGCCCCTCATCCGCGCGCAGCAAAGCCTTAGGCAAATGCAGCAGAACCTCGCACTCCCCATAAGCTGCCGAAATAGGGTTCGGCTGCTTGGCCGCAGTAGCAGCAGACGTAGTCTCCAACAGACCCAATCCCGCATCCGCGACAACGCCCGCTATCACCCGCGGGTCTTGGCCTAGTCCGCGGCTCTGCATTTCCTCGCGTTTCGTACCCTCTAGACTAATCAGTCGCTGGGAGGGATGGGATGGGGATGAGATGTTCTCGCCCATGTTGCGCACGTCGCTTTCTAGTCGGCGAAAGAGCTTGCCGTAGTCGAGGGTCAGGGAGACGTTGTCGGTTTCGGCGGCTGTGATTATGGAGGAGTAGGAGAGCTTGAGGGTTGCGGTGCATGGTTGGGATTTTCCCTGGCGGTGCCAGGCTTCTGGAGCGCAGGGGAGGGGGAGCTCGATGTCGCGGAGACGGACGCTGTCAAGGACATCTGGGCGGGGTGGGAGTTGGATTGGTTGGTCGGTCATGATTGTTGGGTTTATGTTTGTTGTTTTAGGAGAGAGGTTATTGCAAAAGCATAAACATTAAATTGAAGGGAAGCTGAGGGGTCTGGTTTTTTTTTGGCGGGGCACCCGTCGGCGGTTGTAGATCATGACGAACCCACACGGCCATTTCCGCATTTTGGTTTACTCTGTATATTTCCAGAGTTGTATATAAATAGATCAGATTAATGGAATATCATGGGATATTGCATATATTCCTCTTAACTATAGGTGCTACAGTTGGAGTTTGGTTGGTTGAGGGGGGGCTGGGGCTAATATATATTTTGGCTTCGACATAAGTAATGACAATAGACGCAAGTCTTCATCACCCAATTAACCATTCAAATATAGACATTACTGGAAGCAGGGACCGACGGGACACGGGGAATGCTACAGCTGAAGAAACAAATCAAAGAGAATTAATATTTCCAGACGCTAACACACATACAATAGTCCAGGATGGACAAGACCATAGGGCGATAACCACTTAGCCTCCAGCCACCCCAAAGCTATCAGGATAGAAAGAAATGTTTGAAAACTCGCGCTGTCCAGCCGCCAGGAAGAAAGAAAAGCACCCGGCTGCGAGAACATGCTGAACGAAACCTCGGCAGGTGGAAAAAGGTCATGGTCCCATGAAATCAATACGAGACGTTGCGGGTATTTGGCGAAGGAGGTCAACAAAAATGATGGTAGAACGGAAGAATACGCAGTAAGTCCAATCAACGAAGACCCGATGCCATCTACCAGTAGCGAGGACGGTCGTAAGGAACATACTCGCCTCTCGGCGGAGAGCGAGGACGACCGTAACCCCGGGCAGCTAGGTAGGGATCGTCATAGTGGCGAGGAGGTGGGGGAGGCCGGGCCTCATAGGGGTCTTCGTAGGGACGACGTGGGGGCGGGTAGTCTTCCATCCGAGGGCGAGGGGGAGTCCGGCGGGCATAGCCATCCCGTTCATAGTAGGGATCGCGGCGGATTGGGATTGGCGACCGCTCACGGTAGTGCTCCCGAGGACTGTAGCCACGTGGGGGAGGGATCCGGCGGTCGTACTCCTCCATGGTGGTAGGGTAGGGACGACGCGGTGGGGAACGAGACCGGTATGGGTCACGAACGGGGCGTTCCTCAAAGTTTTGAATCTGGGATTTGGTGAGAGGGGGTTCCTCCAGGTCCGAGCCAGGTTGGGCGCTTACATCGGCGACACAAGAGACGACGGAGCCCTTGAACTCTCGCTGGTCCAGTTTCTCCACGGCGGTTTTCAGGTCGTTGGCGGTTTCAAATTCCACAAACCTTGGTCAAATGTCAATGGATTGGAAGGCTCTCTCGCGGAATACAATGGTCCACCTACCCTCTGCCCTGTTCGCGGCCAGTCTCAGAGTAAACGACGTCCAGACCAGACTGGCGGGCAAAGTCTTTTAAGTCCTATTTAATGCATGGTGAGTCCAGGTCCAGGAAAGGTAACGTGTCCGGCAAAAGTTGCGAGAGAAAAAAGGTAAGTACTCCATGTCCAGTCCAAGGAGGTGTATCCGGAATGGCCATCTTATATCGGCATCCAAAATTCCCAGGAAAGGCTCCATGGGGTCTGACAACAATGTGTGGTGAATATGCAAGGATTAAGGAGTATTTCTCAAATCTCGAGGTAAGAGAAAAAGCCATAGAAGCAGTTCTCAGTTACCAGGAGAGGGGTGCGGATGGATTAGTACTCCAGGATCCTTGGTTCAACCGATGGCCTCAAGGACAGTGGACTGGAAGCATGTGTGGGCTGAGTAGAGAGACAGGGTTGAAGAATCTAGGTCAGGAACTTCGGGGAGGAATGGACTTGGGCTGCTAACCTGCCAACTTGTTTCTGGAAGACCGGAAATCTGCATGCGGAACATAGTGCGACGTGGACGAGGGAGAGCATTGCGGTCTGGGGGTCCCGGGAAGGTCTCCTTACGGCGAGGACCGCGTGCAAACTGAACGGTGAGTCGCTCGCCTTTGAAGTCACTGCCATCTGTGGTATTGATAAGCGGGGAGAGGTTATCGGCGGAGAAGTCATGGGGGCATACGGAACGCTGCAGGAAAATAATGTTAGCAAGTCTGCAAATAAAGGGGAACAAGATGAGCCATCCAGCCATTCTTACCGGGCACAATATCTCTGGCATCCAGTTGGTCGTCATATTCGATAAAGCCGAAACCGTTCATCAGCTTGATCTCCGTGATCTTGCCGGAGCCATGGCTGCTGAAATGTTCTTCGATGTCGCTTTTAGTCACTGAGATAAGAAGTAAGGAGATTAGCACATCACTTCTTAAATGGTGACCCTCAAAACACCTGTCTGATGGTCATCCGCGGCGAAAGCTGTTCCATGTGGGTAGCTGAAGCTCCCATTTGCTCACCCCGGGAAGGGTGGGCCGAGGGTGGCATCCCACACGAGCATACGAGGGATCAGAGCACATGGACTTTGGGGGGACTAGCGAAGCGACCGGATCATGCAAGGTGGTGCGTGTGTTCTCCAAAGCTCAGGGAAGAGCGACAGTCAGGTGCTAGCATACCGTTGCGGGGAAGGTTCCCAAGATAGAGGCGGGTCGAAGACACCTCAGTCATGGCTGGTCTGAAATAACTGATGGGCGATAATAAAAGTAAATCTGGCTAAAGGAAATCCTAGAGAATATGGGAGAGATCGAAAAGGCGGGAATGCAGCGAGAGGCTGTGAAATGCGATGTTGCTGCAGGAAAGCGTGTAACGCGTAACCCGACAAACGATCAGAGAGCGGATGTACTGCAAAGTACTGCAAGGTCAAATAGCAAAGCAGAATAGCAAAAACAAATACAAAAGATACAGAGAAGAGAGAGGGGAAGAAAAGGGAGAAAGTACCGTCTGGCGGTGGACAGATGAGAAACTTTGGCCGCCTCACTTTTTTCTGATCCACGTGGTTCCACCATAGAACATAGAGAGGGGAAGAGATAATGTGAAACATTTATGTAGAGTATTGATTTAGATTATTGATTTAGATTATTGATTTAGATTAGATGAATCAGAGTAAATACAGAACAGTAGAATATCTACCGAAAGAAGTATAAGGAAGCAAGGCTTATCCCTCGTGGACTCTCTCCACTGGCATTCCACGGTTCTGCCCCATGGGGTCTTTTTTTGGTTCACTTTGTTTTTTTTGCCTATTTGGGGCATCTATATACATTGGTCTTCTTGTTTGATATCAAATTATATCCAGGCATTCTTTTTATTAATCCCCGCCTGATTCTAGGTATCCCGAGGTCCCTCATAAGATCATGTCATGATGTACTTGGGTCCCTCTCCACCTTGGGGAGTCTGCCAGTTAATGTCTTGTGTAGGCACCTTGATATCACAAGTCTTGCAGTGAATACAACTAGTAAATGGTTAGTATTGTACCCAGGATTACTCAAATACAGGTAAACACTTACTTTTGTGAGTTGATTTGGAATCGGACCCCGTGCTTCTTGCTAGGGTCCTCCACATATTCGTAGACGCCCGCAGGACAGAACCGGTTTTCAATCCCCTTGTAAGCAGGCCATGCGAGGTCTGTGTGTTTATCCAAGTCCTCCACCTGCAGGTGAACCGGTTGGTCTTCCTCGTGGTTGGTGCCGGTCCGACTCACACTGGTCAAGATATCGAAGCTGAGCTCTCCGTCTGGCTTGGGGTAAACGATCTTTTCGTATTGAGAAGCAGGCTTGGTAGCCGCTGCGTCGGTGCCGTGGTGGCTGAGTGTCCATGGCACTCGGCCCTTTAACACATAGGCCTCCAGACCAGAGTAGATAAGTCCACCGAAGAAGCCTAGTGGAGTGTTGAATGAGGGTCGTATGTTACGGACCTCGGACAGTTCCTTCCAAATGGATGATTCCCGCAGAGATTTCTCATAGTCAAACAAGAACACGGTTCCTTGGTTGTCGCCCTTAAGCGCTGAAAAGGCAGCCTCGGCGGCTAACATGCCCGATTTCATTGCGGTGTGGGTACCCTTGATTTTCGGGACGTTTAAAAAGCCAGCCGTGTCACCAATCAAGGCACCTCCGGGGAATGCGCACTTGGGAATCGACTGGAAACCACCCTCGTTCAGTGCTCGAGCTCCGTAAGAAATGCACTTGCCGCCCTCGAGAACCTCTTTAAACATGGGGTGGTGTTTCATCTTCTGAAATTCTCCGTACGGTGAAAGCCATGGGTTCGGGTAGTCCAATCCTACCACCAGACCGATACTCACCATGTTGTCTCCAAAGTGGTACATCCAGGCTCCACCATAGGTATCTTTGGGAAGAGGATATCCCATCGAGTGGGTGATCTCGCCCGATCGGAATTTCTCGGGCTGAATCTCCCAGATCTCCTTGATTCCAAGACCATATGTCTGGGGCTGGCTGTCTCGTCGGAGATCATATTTCTTGGTCACCTGTTTGGTCAAGCTGCCGTGGCAGCCCTCAGCAAGAAGCGTGACGCGGGCATGGAACTCCATTCCCCTCTCAAATGTCTCCTTGGGCTTTCCATCCCGAGCAAGTCCCAGGTCGTTGGTCGCAACACCCTTGACGGAGCCATCTGCGCTATAGACCATCTCGCTGGCTGCGAAGCCAGGATACACCTCCACACCAACCTCTTCCGCACGCTCCCCCAACCACTTGGTCAGCTCGTTCAAACTGACAATGTAGTTCCCGTCGTTGTGCATCTGTGGCGGCATTGGGAGTGGGTAAGAGCCGTTTTTCGTCAGAAAACGCATCTTCTCGCCCTTGGCGGGGGTCGCACCCTCAAAGCGCGAGGGGTTGTCCTCGGACAGCCAGTCGGGGAGGAGCTCGTCGAGGGCGGTTGGTTGCAAAACGTTTCCGGAGACAATATGCGCGCCCAATTCACCAGCCTTCTCTAGTAGAATAACCCGGAATTCTTCATTGCCTGCCTCGTTGGCAAGTTGCTTCAAACGAATCGCGGCGGCGAGACCAGCGGGACCTGTAGTAAACCAGAGCTTAGTTAGGCTGCTTCGGACGAGAACTAATGCGGCATAAAGCACGTACCACCACCGACAATGCATACATCCACGTCGTCGGACTCGCGCTCCAATGAGCGAGGATCGAAGTCGCCATTCTCGTCGGTGAAGCGCTTTGATAGCGACTGTGAAAAGGCTCGTGTCTGGGTTGGCGCGGTGAATAATGCCGTTCGCCGAGCTAAACATTTCCCGGAGGCTGTGAAAGGACTGGCTGAGTGGCGGGTTGGAGTAGCGATGGCAGAGACGGAGGGAGTAGCTCGTGAGAATCGGGAGGATCGAATTTCACGCCTCAATAGAGGTAGAACGGCACCTTTTGATGCCATCGCGGCGTATGAGATTGTTGAGAGATCGGGGGTTGAGACCAGGATTAGTAGTAACGACCAGCAATTGGCATCACCAGATCGTAAGGGTAATGCGGAGACTCAGGCTATTTAGGTCGTAGATCCCGAATGTCCCCAGAGTCCTCGAGTACCCGAATTTTGAGTGGAAGTGACAAAACGCCGAAAAACCGCCTACCCTCGGCTCAGCTCGGTCGGCCAATAGAAAACTCGGCGATTATCCAACTTGGAGGCCTGAGGCAGCGATGGATGGATAGATCACCCGAAGCGGAAATCGCCTCTAGTCGTCGGGGTTTTATCGCCCGTAGCCTGACTGAACTTTTAGCACCTGTGCGTATCTTTTTAGTTGTATTATTCAAGATCTATATGGAGTGCTGCCTCGATTCTTGTCACATCTAGGCACCACATGTTTAATACGATGTAGATACACGGTACTGATCACATGCATCACATGCTTAGCTTCACTTGTGATAATGGAATATTCCAATGTCGACATCAGCTTTAGACCTACGGAGGACTCCATATTGACCTTGCATATCTATATGCCAGAGAACAACCTTAAATAGTCGAGTCATACTAACTGTTTCAAGGGCGCCAAACACCGATCTGGCCAGATTCAAAATGTATTTGCCGTGTTCCGTATTATTACTACATTTCCGGGAATGTGACGTCTGTGCCGCTTCGGGTATGGTATTCAGCATACTATACCATACCGCATACCGGAATCCTCTAGAAAAATGCAAAAAACACCATGATATGACGTGAAGGGTTATCGTGAATAACAAAGTCTCAAAAACCATAGTCGGTAGATCTAAATAATAGACCCGAATAATAAGAAAGTGACTGATCATCGCCAGATTGCATGCCATGAGATTCATCCAGCCTTGGCGGACAGTGGATCAACACTGGGCGCCACCGCCTGTTAAGGCAGAATCAAAACGGCCACCTGTCCTAATCAAAATCTCTGGAAAGAGTCGCTGGTTTGAAAATGCAGAGAGAAAGTATAGTCGGATCAAATATAAGTTGTGAGAAATATCCCTCCCTATTACCAGTTAGTCCACCAACAAAATCCGGGATATTATAGTGATTATAGTGATTCTTCGGTGTGGTGAGGTCAGAGAGGTAGGGGAAGAAGCAGGGCAAAAAAATCAGAATTTTTGTTCAGTTGCCATCTGTTAAAGCGGCAAGAGGATAGCGCGTCGTACATGGAGTGACCGAGGGTAGTCGATGACGATGATTGGACTGGCATGGGACGGATGGACTATCAGCTGCAGGAGGAGCGCGGACTGGCAAACCCAGCGCCTGTAACCATGGCCCGCGGAGGATAAAGCAAGGGTGTTTGAACCAGTCAGGGGTCAAGATAGAGAGATTAGCGGAGTACGTTGGGCGAATGACAGTCACTAGAGAAGCTGTATGTCTGTGATTGGCTTGCAACGTGGTTTTCCAGAGCCGCTAGCGGGCAATGGAGCCAAGGTTGAAGGGAGAAAAGTCTTGCTGCTTTTAGCGCCACCGGCGGCCCAGTCTCCCCTGACCAGGCTGTGACTCAGCACTATATAAAGGCCCAACCTCCCCCCAATTTACCTTGGGAATTTTGTCTCGGTCTTGGCGGATCTTATTTCGGAAATTCTTCTTCCCTCCGCTCCTCTCAAAAAGCCTCTTGATTATCAAATCTTGATATCTGCCGGCTTTCTCTTACTAATCAGATCTATCTCAATCAGATCTTTGATTTATCTCTGGAAAGACCCTTGATTCTATCTCTTTTAGGGGGAAAAAAAAGGTTTTTTTTTAAGTCCACGGACCTAATCACCAGAAGTCGAGCCTCAGGTTTCGCTTCACCACTCTCTCTTTTTTTCAGATCGCGCAGATAGACAATCCCATTTTCCAAAAACAGCGCAAAAGAAACATTTCGAAAGAAACCCAAAAAAATTTTGCCGTCCTTCCGTCCATAATATCGCCGTCGCGCTTATCTTGAAAAAACACTTCAGTGTGATTTTTTTCTTGATTCGTTCACCAGTCGACTGCGTTGGTTTCGTTGCCTACACTATCTCGTGATTGCCTGTCATTCCGAGAGGTTACGTGCGAATACCTCGTAGGGGGATACATTGAGTTGTCCATCTCCCAGGTAAGAACTTCCTTCCTCGTTTGTTCTGACTACGGTTGCACCTTCCCTCTCTTATTCGTTCCTTCCATATTGGGGTTCCTTCTCTATGGATGCCTGCCTCCCATTCGCTCACCGCCTCTCTCCTCCCCGGCGCGTCATTCTCTTCTCATCTCGCGACTTTTCGCGATTCGAGCTCACATCTCTTTTCGATAGTTCCATCCTTTTATTTCTTGTCGCAACTCGAGTATTCCATCAAGATGGATTCTCTCACAACCCACCCTTCCAACGCGCAGCAGGCTCGTGCCTTTACTGCTACCTCGTCGCTGTCCTTCCCTGGTGGCGCTGGGGATCTGACCCCTCCCAACTCCGAGAAGGAGGCCATAGCACAGGGTGCACAGGGCGGAAACAGTATGAATGGCCAGCAGGCCGGAAATGCCATGCATGGCACCGGGGTGACTCCCGCTTCTCCTGCAACCCCCGCCGCGACCCCTAGCGCGACCACCGGAAGCAGTGGCATTGTCCCTACCTTGCAGTGAGTATACTCTGGATGTTTTTCTGGGTGACCAGAATGGCTGAACTAGTTATTCCAAAAGGAACATCGTTGCTACTGTCAACCTTGACTGTCGCCTTGATCTCAAGACCATCGCGCTGCACGCACGCAACGCCGAGTACAACCCAAAGGTATTTATTAATCACTCCTCACATTGCTCTGAGAGGGCGCACATCAGGGTACAATGTGGCTGAACTTAGTTCTCTCCTTAGCGTTTTGCTGCCGTGATCATGCGTATCCGTGAACCCAAGACTACCGCTCTCATCTTCGCCTCTGGAAAGATGGTCGTTACTGGTGCTAAGTCCGAGGATGATTCGAAGCTGGCTTCGCGCAAGTATGCGCGTATTATCCAGAAGCTTGGTTTCAACGCCAAGTTTACCGATTTCAAGATCCAGAACATTGTCGGCTCTTGCGACATCAAGTTCCCCATCCGTCTGGAGGGGTTAGCCTCTCGTCACCACAATTTCAGTTCCTATGAGCCTGAGTTGTTCCCTGGTTTGATCTACCGCATGATGAAGCCCAAGATCGTTCTCTTGATCTTCGTCAGTGGCAAGATTGTCCTGACTGGTGCTAAAGTCCGCGAGGAGATCTACCAGGCATTCGAGCTGATTTACCCTGTGCTTTCTGGTATGCTGTCTTGCTGGATTCACTGCCATCGTACCTTTACTGACTTCTGTTCACAGATTTCCGCAAGGTCTAAGAAAGCTCCAAGGAGATCACTATGCATTTCAAACCTGTATTAACATTGCTTTTCCCTTTTACGAGGACAGTCCGCTTTGGTCTGCACCTCCCTTTCCCTTCGGTTCTTTACGACTCTTTTCATGCAAGCATAGTTGGGCGTTTTTAGCGATTCGGATGATCCCCGGTTTTCCTCACACTTTCGCGTTCTTCCACACAATTAGATTGCTGCACACCGCAGTGAGGCGGTTGTGCGCCGGTCGATGGCTGCCTCGATTTAATCATTTATCGTTCTATGGTTTCATCTGTGGAGGATTGCTTTTATTCCCACAGGCCAAAAAAAATTAATGGTGACCTAAGGCAGTCTGTTAGATTCAGTTCCGTCCTTGCTTTCCTATCTGGGGCTTGATGGACCGGCTTTTCGCCGTGATGCTACCTTTTGAGTAGTCAATGAAAATGTCTTGAAACAAATTTCCTCTACATGCTCGAGTAGATCACTGTAGTTCGTAGCACTTTGGCCTCGAGCTTTGCTCGTGTCTCGGTCTGTAGTATAATAGAAATGCCTTTGTACATCCAATCTTCATGTTTTATACATCAGACCAAGGAGTACACCCCTAAAGCACACTACTCCGCAAAGCCTTCTTTGTCTTCGCCAACTCGTCTTTCAAAATTGCTCGCCTCTCCCCAGACCGACTCCCATCGCCATCAAAGTCCTCTTCATCCGACACAACGGCCTCAGGCCATGTCCACATCTTCCTCAACTCGGAGTCAAGTGTGCCTTCCAGCGCATCAACAATCTTGTCTCCAATAACAGGGAAGAACTTGAACCCATGGCCACTACCACCTGTAGCAAGGAAAAGACCTTCATGTTCAGGATGATAAGAAACAATGAAGTTACCAGTGGGCCTGTTTAAACCAATTAGCACCAACCACAACCATCCAACTCGCAGCTGGCAACCCAAGGACCAAACTCACGTATCAGTATACCAACAAACCCTCGTATCAACAAACTCCCTTTCCACAAACCGCGGCAAAAGCTGCCTCAACGCAACCCGGAACGCATCCTGTCCCTCCTGAGGGACGGGAACCCCTTGTTCAGGCAGACTAACCACCATCGAACCCGAAGCCCCAGCACCAGGAACCGGCACCTCAACCGGATTGCGATACCCATACGCATGCCGCGCAATCTTAAGCAGATTATCCCGGGGCGGGATAATAAAGATACCCGTCGCGAAGTTCAAGATCGTTGGCAGGTTCTCCAGCTCTCGTTGCTCCTCATCAGAGATCCGTATATAAGCAATCGCCTGTCCGGTCGCAACAGCCCGACCACGCAAGTCCACAAGTTTCGACGTCCACGCGCCAGTCGCTAGCACAACGAGATCCGCCTCTAGAATCGAACCATCCGCCAAGATGACACCAGTAGCTTTAGGCTTCGCGCCGTTTGTGTCGTAGAGCACACGTTCGACATCACCAGTACGGAAGCTAACCTTGCCCTCGGCGTCGAGGACGGTTTTAGCGTATTGCACGCTGGCCGCAGCATCAGACCATCCAGACCCCCAATTCACATAGCCGCCGGCGACATCGAGAGTCGAGCCGTAGGCCGGGACGACGCTGAGGACGTCCGCTTGTGTTGGCAGGAAGGTGACGTTGTCGCCCTCGATCTGGCGCACGTTGGCGTAGCTCTTGCGTGCGTACTCCTTGGCGCTGGCGCTGTCCTCTGGGTACACGAGTAATAGACCGTTCTGCGTATAGCGGCCATCACGGCCCCAGTCTGTGCTCCGCCATCGGTCAATGGCTGCTGCGGCGAGCTTGGAGTATTCTGCGTTGGCATAGTCGGCTCGCACGATCCGTGATGTGTCGACGGATGAGCCGTGCGGGTTTGGGATTATTGGTGAGGACTCTACTACTGTAACTTTGGATTCTGGGTGTCGCTTTGACAAGGAGAGGGCGGTGGATACTGGGGAATGTTAGTAAGTGGAAATGTAATGTGTAGCTTTTAGGATTGTTAACACTGGATTGTTAACACTCACATCCAAACACACCCCCTCCTACAATCAGAATCTTAGACGGCAATGCCATTTGTAAAAATTTGTGTGTGGGTGAACACTAGCATTGGAGATCTGGGGGATTACTCCAATTGATAACAGTCGGGCCGATAACGGCGTTGGTCGTCGGCTTCTGTTCCCGACTTTTCTTCATCGTTGGGGTCGATATCGCTACTCCGATCTATACCGAACGAGATGTGCAACTGATCTTGGGACTTGATTGTTATCAATTCGGTTTTCATTTCTTGGAGCCTCCATCTCCTTTTGGTATCGTGGGGGCTGATAACCCTGTCGCGTAAGCACTCAATCTTCGCTCGCGTCAGACCGTATATGCACAACAAGCCCTGCACAACAAGCCCCTTGGCAGTCCATTCTGCTAGTTCAAAGCACCATAATGAACGTAAATCAATTGCGCAGAGTGCCGTTAGTTGCAAAGTGGCCCGTCACACCCTGCCGCAACGCATCAAGTAAAGCCCCTCGACCCCCAAAGCCGAGGTATGTAACCAAACCCCCCTTTCAATCCCAAGCCCAAACTAACATCTCCCAGTCCCAAAATCTCCAAACCGGTGGCCATAAAACGGCGACAAGTAACTGCGCCTCGCCAACACTACCAAGAGCGCCCAAGCCCACAAGGCACTCAAGGCGAAACCGCCAATGCTGAAACCACGGCTAAACCAGGCCATGGCATCCCACCCAGAGCCTTAACCTTCCTGGGAATGACAGCACTCACCATAAGCACGTACTGTGGCTACCTGTACGCATCATACACGCGCGAAGTAAGCAAAGCCCAAACTCTGGACGTGCCACGCGATGTCTCAGACCGCTACAACACGACGGCGGCAACCTTCGATGCAGACGTCGAGCTCTCTGAAAAGGCAATGGGCCTCGGCAAGAAGCGACGAGATCTAGTCAGACAAGCGCGTGGGAACGTGCTGGAAGTCAGCTGTGGCACGGGGCGCAATCTGCCGTTCTATGAGCTCGGCGAGCGTCGCGGGTTAGATGCCGATGGCCATGCTACGGTTTTGGGGTGCCGATCGGTTACGTTTGTTGATCTTAGTCCACAGATGGTGGCTATTACGAATGAGAAGTTTGAGAAATTGTATCCTACGTTCCCGGCGACATTCCGGGCTTGTGATGCGGGTAAGGTTGAGCCGCCGTCTGATATCGCGCGTTCCGGGGCGAAGACGAAGGAGGGGCCGGTTTACTTTGATACTGTTGTGCAGACTATGGGTCTTTGCTCGATGCCGGATCCGGTTGCTACGCTGAGGCACCTGGGGTCTGTTACCGAGCCTGGGAGTGGGCGAATCTTGTTGCTTGAGCATGGGCGTTCTTATTATGATTGGCTTAATCGGATTTTGGATAATCTTGCTCCGGCTCATGCGGATCGGCATGGTTGCTGGTGGAACCGCGACATTGGGGATATTGTGCGTGAGAGTGGGTTGGAGATTGTGGAGGAGAAGCGTTGGCATCTAGGGACTACGTGGCGTTATGTGTTGAAACCGAAGCAAAGTACTGGGAAGTCTCAGTCTTGATCTGGTGGCTTTGGCTGGAGCCTCTTTTGGATGTAACATAATTTGGAGATGTGTATGATTATTTGGCATGATAGTAATGGAATTGAGGGATAGAATATACTCATTTCCTTCCACTATATATCAAAACATGATGAATCCAAGTTATTATCATGATGCTATCTTGAAAAGTGGTCTACATGTCCACGTATATACTACTGTAATGCCTTTTTAGTAACGATATCTGAAGCCTGGTGTCTTCCAGTCCGTGACATCCTCATAGTCATCAGATACCAACTGCACCCGGTTGACCATATCTGCCACATTCGTTGAATCGGGATCATCATCCAACCCCTTCCCACCAACAGCACCGGCGTTTCCAGCACTACCCTCAAAGCCCTCTAGACGCGTACGGCGAGCATTGGTCCATTGCAAGTAGAAACGCAGAACTAACGCCAAGAGGACAGCGAGGGCATAGCAAATCATGATCGTACGGAAAGCAGTGTTGTAAGTCGGTGCCTCCTCACTGAGGAAGAACTGAGGCCCAGAAATGTTTCCAGCACAGTAAGCCAGGAAGAGCATTGCAGTGACAGTCATTTTCTTAGTGACTCCGCGGTAATTTGCCTGCACCAGCGACATAGCAAGCGGCATTGCCGCGGGTCCAGTCGACAAGAGGAAATATCCAAAGAATTGCACCCCGAGGACGATATGCGCACGGGAGTAGATGATCGCACTCCCGATGACGCAAGGGAGAACAACGGCCACGATAAGCAAGCAGTTCAGTTGGCGGAAACGACCAGCCAGCCAGCCCGTTCCGGTGATTGTAGCCACGGTGATGAGGGAGTAAGGGATGGTGAGCAGCGTTGATTGCAGGTTCGTGAACCCAAAGGAGACAATCACTAGATTGGCAAAGTTCTGCGTTCCTCCGTTGGGGATCTGGGTGCACAGCTCCAGTCCAAATATAAGCCACGTCTTGGGATCCAGCAGGCATTCAACGACCTGGTCCCATCTCCATACAGTCTCCTCAGTTGCGCCTGTGCCTGCAACGACAACTCTGTTGCTTGCGAACTGGCGTTCCTCTTCTGTTAGAAATTTGGCCTTGGAGATTGAGTCTGGGAGTAGAGTCCAGATAGCGAATCCCCAAAGAAATGTTGCACAGCCGAGGACAATGAACATCCACCTCCATGGTCCAACGTGATCTTTGACGTGACCCAGCCCATAAGCGAGGAGACTGGAAACAATACCACCGACACTCTGTGTAAAGATGAGCTTCTATCCAAAATATCGATAGGAAACAACTTACGTTTCCAGCAAACCACAGGCCGGTCCTAGTAGGAATCTCATCACGCGTGTACCACGTCGACGTGATAAACATAAACGCTGGCGTGATTGTTGCTTCAGCGACTCCAAGTAAGAAGCGAACTGTAATGAGGCCGCCAAAGTTGGTACAGGCTGCAGTGAGAGCCACTACAGCACCCCAAAATAGAGTGTTGGCCGTCAAGTATTTGGCAGGGGGCAGACGAGCGATGAGCAAAGTTGTTGGATATACCCATCCCAAGTAGCCAAAGTAGAAGATCGATGATACCCAGCTGTACTGCTGGCCAACCAAACCCTAGAAATGATCTTAGTTGTGGTTCTTGTTTTCTCTCAGCATATTCTTACAGTATCGTGCCTCATCCCGAAGACCGACGCGCTCGACAAGATGGTCTTATCCATAAAGTTAAGCATATATGTTGCGAAAAGCAGTGGTATGAGTCGTCTGTCAATCTTCCT